AGAGAGAGAGAGAGAGAGAGAGAGAGAGAGAGAGAGAGAGAGAGAGAATCCCAAGCAGGCTCCTTGCTACTAGCACGGAGCCCGTCTCAGCTTGGTTTCACGAACCATGAGATCATGACCTGAGCCGAAATCAGGAGTCGGCCATCTAACCAAATAGCCACACAGGTGCCCCACATTAATTTTTTTTAAGTAGAAGAAACAAATTAAGTGCTATTTTTTTAAACGAGAGAAAAGTATATTACTTGCTGATAATTCATCTACTAGAAAATCCAAGAGTATTTACACTAATAGTACTTGAACTATAGAGTATGGTTTAAAACAAAAATAAACATATAGAAGTCAATACCTATCTTACACATCAGAGGTAGTGTGTTAGAAGATATAAGGGGAAAAGATCCTATTTATGGTGTCATGAAAAACTACAAATTTCTCAAAATATCATTAGAAGTGTTAAAGGCTCTGTCACCCACTAGGATTAGACAACCTGTGCATTTGAATCTGTTTGATGGTGAGTTGTGGGAAAGTTGGGTGAGGACTGGCTTATCTTTAGGTTTGTGCACCTTCAAAATTTATCTTTCTTTTAGGAAAACTTACTTTGTATGAAAAGCAAATGCTGGTGTTTTTTTTGTTTTGTTTTTTTTGTTTTTTTACTTAAAAAACAACCTTATTAATAGATGGACAAACAATACAGTGTTACACTTGGATTAGCCAAACGGGTCCCATGAAATGATTTGATCAGACTGCCACCTACAGGTGGCAGGAAAAGCACAGTCGCCCGGAAATACCACCTACCATGTATCAGGAATGGTATTAATCATAAGGTTGCCAGATAAAATACAGGACTCCCACTTAAAATTGCTTTCAGTTAATTATCAGTACTTCTGTAGTAGAAGTGTGTCCCAAATATTGCCTGTAACATATCTATACTGGAAAATTATTCACGGTTTATCTGAAATTCAAATTTAACTGGGCATCTGTAGTTTTATTTGCAAAATCTGGCAACCTTTGAAAATAAAGATAATAACGTTGACTACACTCTGCTTGCTGCATAAAACGTTTCATTGGCCTCAGGGGAGGGTTGGAGCATCTTAACGTAAGAACATTCCTGTCTCTGCTCCCATTTTTCTCCTCTATCCTTAGTACAAGCTTCCCATCAACATCAGAATCTTTCTTTTCCTTAGGTACCTTGTGTGGCTTAGAATACAAAGGTTCCTCATTTGTCTTTTAATATTGCTTGTGATAATTTTATTATGTAGTCACATCTTACCTCAGGACTTCTTAAGTGAATGTCAAAATTATCATAGCAGATTACGATTGAACGATACTCCAAGATAAAAACTAATATTTTCCAGCGTGATTTTCCAAAGTAATGTTTTTCTGTATCTTTGGAAAGACATGCTGGAAAATATTTTATCTCCAGAGAATTTCATGTCCTTATTTAAATGTTAATGAAAGAAAAGTCCAATTGAACTTACAGTGCATGTTTGTATGTATCTGGCTCTGTAACTTGCAGAGCCCTGTGCAATATTAAAATGTGGAATCTTTTGTTCAAAAATGATTAAGAATTTCAGCATGGTAATGGCTCAGCATTAACTCAAGCATGGCACCCTTCTAAGAGCAGGGTCCTGACTAGTCAGGTCTCTTGCTCTATATATGATTTTCCCCCCAACTGAATGTATTTAGAATGGAAATCTCTCTAAAGGAAGTTCCTTTTTGCTTACACTAGAAGTATAGGAGCAACGTAAAGTTTGTGATGTTTTGAGATCTTTCTAAATGGAGACAATTAAGAAGAAAATTAAGCTTATAACAACGTGGACTTTGCAGTCAATTCAAGGCCTGGGTTCATGGCAGCCTGGAGGACTCATTGGTTGGCTTTAGGGATGCACAGACTCCCTGTAATTATAATCAAAATTGTGTGTGTGTGTGTGTGTGTGTGTGTGTGTGTGTGTTTACATGTGCATTCTTCAGGAAAGAGCTTTCATCTAATTTTCAAAGGGATAAATAACCCAAAAGGACATAGGAACCACTGTTCTTTGAAATTATTTCTCTTTATTTTGGCTTTATCTCTATGGCCAGCCATGTTCTGCTTAAAGAAAACTCTGCTGGTAACTGGTTTAAAGTTTTTTAAATGAAAGGGATTGGTGCAGATTTTTAAAACTGCGTTTATTTCAAAATATAGAAAAGAAATAGAAAAAGAGAAATATAAGGAATAAACAGGTATATCAGGGTTTTCGTCAGAGAAATGAAGTCTGAAAGGATCTACATTAAACCCTTACATCTTAGCTGCTGCCATCAGAAAGCTTGAGATAGTAAAATTGATCTTTAATTGCAGTATTTCTCGTGTTATAATATACAATATTTACCATGTATTGGGCACTGTCCCAATAATCATTTACAACCCTAACTCACTCAATCCTCTTAACAACCCTATAGTCTCCATTGTAGAAATGAGGAATCAGAAGCAAACATGTTAAGAAACTTGCCCAGTTACACATAGTGAATGGTGGACCACTGGCCACAAAGTCAATATTCCTCATAAGCTTTTCCCCCCCTCATTATTTGTAGGTCCACTTAGATATCAATAGTTCATAGAGCTTCCAATTAGGCAGTATGAAGATTAAAGAATTAGAACACTGAAAACGTATCCTTCCAGAAAACTTTTTTCACTCGGCTCCCAGGATACCACTCCTCTGTGGGTTTCCTCCTGTCTCTGCCTGGCTGAGTCTTCTCAGTCTTTGTGTGGGAATCTCCCCTTCTCCCCGTCAGTCCTTGAACCTATTCTCTCTGACTATATACACTATATATACTCCTTAGGCACACTAATCCAGTCCCATGACTCTAAATGCTGTCCATATGTTGATGATTTTCAAATTTGTATTTTCAGGTTGGGACACTCCCTTGAACTCTAGATTCATGTATTCAGCTGCCTTCTAAACCTCTCCATCTGGGGTCTATTCAACATCTCAAATTAAACATGGCCAAAACAAATGCTACTCCCCCCGCCCATCAAGACTCCCACAGTCTTCCCCATTCAGGAAATGGCAACCCCATTCTTCAGTTAGAGCAAAAAAGTTTGGAGCCATCGGTATCTCTTCTCCCTCTCTCATACCCCATGCCAAATCTATTGGCAAATGAGGTCAATTTAACCTTCAGAATATGTCCAGATGAATCGAAAGCCAAAATCCATCTACCTTTCTTAACCCGAGTCACCATTATCTCTCTTACCTGGATTATGGCAAAGCCCGTGTGGTCATGAGAATATGCTTCTCGGAGCTCCCAGTGTGGAAGGATACTTGATTGGTGGTCCCATCCATCAGTGAATTCACATGGAGGCCGCACTTCCCACAGACTGTTTCCAGCTTCTGGCCAGTCAGGAGCACTGGGGCTGGCCCATTCCTGGGAGATGGGGGGTTTCCCTGATGGGTGACTTTAACTCAAGGACTCTCTGTTGGCCTTGCCAACTTTTCATAGAATTGCACGGTAGTTTCAGACTGCCCCCTCTAACCTTCCTGCCCTGTTCTGTCCCTTACCTGGGTCAGACCTACAGTGTATTCTGGAGGCTCTTAATGTCTATTCTTCTGGGCCCTCTCCATGTGCCCTTCCAGGTGTCCCTCTTAATGAATCTCTCACACACCTAATCCCAACAGGCCTCCTCACAGGCCTTCTCACAGGCTGTTCATTGGTCTTCCTGCTTCCACAATTACACTCCGACGGTCTCTTCACATAGTAGCCAGAAGGGATCACGTGAAAACCAAACTCTTCGCCTCAGGCTCTATCTAGGCTCTCCAAGATCTGGCCCTTGCTTCCCCCATGGATCTCATCTCCTCTTTGCTGACTCTGCTTTGGCCCCCACAAATCTCCTGGCTATTCTTAACCCTTTACGTATAGTTTGCTTCACTTTGCACTTGTCTTTCCCTCTAGAATGCTTGTGTCCCAGACATAATACATATCTTGGTCCTTCTCATCATTCAGGTCTGTCACTCTCTATCATCTTATCCTGCTTTATTTTTCCTTCATAGTATTTAATCGCCATTTGATATATAATGTATCTATTTTGATTATTTATTTGCTTGCTGACTCTCTGTCCCCACTACAATACAAGTGCCATGAAAACAGAGACTTGGTATTCACTCCCATACCCCTAACACGAATACAAATGCCTGGCACATAAGTACTTAATAAATTCTATTGAACGAATCATAAACTTATTAAAAATCATGTAGAGGGTCATAAAAACCAAAGGAATTTACAAACATAAGTTTGATTAGGAACATCTGAGTTTTCTTTATTATCATTATTATTATTTTTTAAGTTTCTATTTATTGGGGTGCCTGGGTGGCTCAGTTGGTTGAGCGACCAACTTCGGCTCAGGTCATGATCTCACAGCTCATGAGTTCAAGCCCCGCATTGGGCTCCGTGCTGACAGCTTGGAACCTGGAGCCTGCTTTGGATTCTATGTCTCCCTCTCTCTCGGCCCCTAACCCACTTGCTTTCTGTCTCTGTGTCTCTCAAAAATAAATAAACATTAAAAAAAATTTTTTTTAAAGTTTCTGTTTATTTACTTTGAGAGAGAGAGAGAGAGAGAGAGAGAGAGAGAGAGAGAGAGAGAGAGAAAGTTGGGGAGGGGCAGAAAGAGAGGAAAAGAGAGAGAGTGAGAGCAAGAGAGAGAGAGAGAGAGAGAGAGAGAAGCCCAAGCAGGCTCCACCTGTCAGCACAGAGCCCGATATGTGGCTCGAACTCACGAGCCGTGAGATCATGACCTGAGCCAAAATCCAGAGTCGGACATTTAACCTGCTGAGTCACCCAGGCACCCCAGGAACATCTGAATTTTCTGAAGAATGAGAACACAACTAGAAAAATTAGTACCATAAGTAATTAAGGACACACATTTTTCTTTTCTTTACTTTTCTTTTCTTTTCTTTTCTTTTCTTTTCTTTCCTTTTCTTGCTGATTATAAAAAACAATGCTATTTTTTCAAAACAAAATTCAAACTTCACATTTATCACTAACCTACTTAATGTAAAACATGAAATAGTATTTTATCTCAAGCAAGCTCAAGCCATACTTAATTAGCTGGATTATAACCAGGAAAGTGCTAAAATGTCAAGGGAGTAGACGTTGTCTTTCTATAATTTTTGAGAGAATAAGTGATACCATGGAATATTTAGCAAATCTATTTTTTTTCAAGCCTAGAGAGAAAAATATATAGGAAAACATTAAAAAATCTCCCTAATGCTGGGAATATATGACAGCAAATTAACTTACTAACTGTAATGAGAAGTAATTGGAAATACATCTGAATTTTTGTGAGATTTAATGAAATTGGAGTCTTGATCACACTTGAGGTTAATTTTTCAAAGGGTCTGTGTTCTCATGAAACCCAAACCTATTTTTCTACTTTTCCCCTACTTTTCTCCTTTTCCTCTCCTTTTCTGTTTTTAACATTTTACTTTTCTAACTGTAGTCTTAAGGAAGGAGAAGTAAAATCAAAATGTTACCTAATCACACTTGGAAAATCTGAGTCCCAAACTGTAAGTCAATGGGTCACACAACATTTCTCTGACATAATAGTCATGTGCATCCAAATGGCAGACTCTACGGCATGGAAATAGAAGCCACAAAGTGCTTTCTGGCAATCTGCCCTTTTCTGAATATCACATTTAGAGACAACAGACAGAAATGCAGACTCTACATCCTGTCATTGATTCACTGCACAGGAAGGTCAGAATTACTGAAGTATTTCAGTGATATAACTACTACTGGGAGTCTATGCTATTTTTTCAAGTGATTCAAAGAAGCCAAGTAGAAATTGCATTTCTGGTTTTATCGCTAAGCTATTGCACACATCTGAATTCGTCCTCTCAATCCTTCCAAAAATGATGGCAAAAAAGATGTGAGCATGCTTTAGAAATGCTTAAGTATTATTATATGCTGGAGACAAAGAAAATATTTACCTCACTGAATTTTATTCTGCATTCCAGGAGGAAGCATCATCCAGTTTTCATTTGATTTTCAAAACTATGATCCATTGAGGTTTTTTTAGTTCCTAGCAACTCCTCAGTGTGTTCAGTGTGTGTTCAGTGCAAAAGAAGTCCAAGATATATCAGAATACAGCATGATCTAACCGAATATTGAGTTGAGAGTCTGGAGCCCTCTGTTCTCATTTCAGACTGGATGCTAACTAGCTTTCTGACTTGGAGGAAGTTATAAAAACTCTCAGTATTATTTATCTGTTGTTAACAAGTCATCCCAAATCTAGTGTCCTAAAACAACAGCGAGCGTGTATTATCTCCGAGTTTCTGGGAGGGATTCTGGAGTTCCCTCACTGGTTCTGGCTCAGGGATTCACATGACTTTGCAGTCAAGATGTCAGCTAGAGCAGCAGTCATTTGACGGCTCGCCTGGGGCTCGAGGCTTTGCTGCTAGACTTACTCAGATGTCCGATGGAAGAGGCTTCAGTTCCCCACCGTGTGGGCTTCTCCATAGGGTTGTTCATTATATGGCAGCTGGCTTCCCTCAAAGTGAGTGACCCCAAGAGTAAAAGAGTAAGTAGGCAGGTGCTGTGATACCCTTTGTCACCTAACCTCAGAAACAACTACGACCAATTCTGCTGTATTCTGCCGCTCACGTAAGCTAACCCTGGTGCACTCTGGGAGGACTATACGAGGGTGTGAACAACAAAAGATGGGAATCTTGAAAGCTGTCTACCACATTCTCTGATCTCATTTTCTTCATCTATAGAGTGAGGTCTTCTAACTAGATGATCTTTTAAGGTTTATTTATTTATTTTGAAAGAGAGAGAGAGGGAGAGCATGAGCAGGGGAGGGGCAGAGAGAGAGGGAGAGAGAGAATCCCAAGCAGGCTCTGCACTGTCAGCATGGAGCCTGATGTGGGGCTCAAACTCATGAACTATGAGATCATGGCCTGAACTGAAATCAAGAGTCAGGCACTTAATCGCCTGAGCCACCCAGGCGCCCCTAACTAGATGATCTTGAAGGTTAGTGACTTCCTCTCTCTCCAGTGCCACTCCCAGACCTTGATTTTCACTCTCACATAGAAAATGCTAAGCCTCTTAGCTTTAAGCCATATGGCTGTGCCAACCTCCACCTGTCCATGTTGCTGTCATTTATAGACTTCCTGGTCACTATCCTTCATCTCGGGAACTTAGCACCTGCCCTACAGTTGTCCTTCTCACTCCAAGTCCTAACGTTATCCTAAGACTGCCACATCCTCATGGATGGCCCATCCTTGATGACCCATGGCCTTCCATGAACCACTTTCGGGATAGATACCTCACACCCTTTGTCTCACCGTCTTTCTTTCACATCTGCCTGGAAGAGCCTTAGTTCTGATTGATTTCAACAGATTATCTTACATCTTCTCTATCACCTACAACCAGGTCACTGAAGGCTTCTGGAGAAGATCGCATGCTAGTGTGGATGGGATAGATGGTTATCATATTCACACAGGCTTCCAAAGTCGTCTGCCAGTTTCATAGTCAAAGTCCTCTAGTCAGCTCTCTCTTTCTGGTCTCCATACAGGCTCTTTCAGATACTCTCCGCTTTCCTCAAAACTCCATATCTGCTTCTGCCACCTCTCCCATCATCCTCATGTGCGTTTTTACTTTCCAAAGAAAATAGGATCCATGAGCTGAGACTCTTTGTGTCCAGACCTACTCTTTCCTCCTTTCCTCTTAATGAAAGAGGAGCTTCACCTCTGATCTGAAGTCAGTCCTTCTGCCGGTGCCTAAAACTCCACTCCCTCTCACCTCCTCAGAAACTCTGATTTTTTTAACCCGGTGCAATCTCACTTCCACCCTCCCATCTTCCCTGGAGTAGTCTCTTAGTTTATTCTGTTGACTTCCTCTTTTGTCTAAAACTACTGTCCATTATGGTACCACTAGCCACAAGTAGCTAGTCCCGAATGGTAAATCCTCACCAGGTTTCAAAAACTTAGCATTAAAAAAAAAAAAAAAAAAAGAATGTGCATTATCTCTTTAGTCACTTTATCGATTATATATAATCACTTTCTGGGGGGGGTGGGAGGAGTTGAGCGGGACAGGAGAGCTAGACTGGCAAATTCCTAAATATTCTATTCTTTGATCTGGCATTATGAAGTCATCTGGTCTACTTTATCTGAATGACACAACACTTTTTTTCTGTATATATACAGAAATACATTCTGCATATATATATACAAAGATAAATTCCTCACACAGTTGAACCCATCATAAAATATGCTATCTTTATTCATGAAGAAAAAAATTAGTGGGGTGCCTGGGTGGCTCAGTCAGTTAAGCGTCTTACTTCGGGTCAGGTCATGATCTTGCGGTCCAGTCCACTGGTTTGAGCCCCGCATCGGGCTCTGTGCTGAGCCCGGAGCTGAGCTCTCAGCTCAGAGCCTGGAGCCTGGAGCCTGGAGCCTGCTTCAAATTCTGTCTCTCTCTCTCTCTGTCCCTCCCCTATTCTCACTCTGTCTCTCTCTCTCAAAAATAAACATTAAAAAAATACTAAAAAATTAGTTATCTGTTATATTAACTGTGTTCATAAAGTAAATAACTATGTAATGACTATTTTTTCCAGCAGACTGAAATGACTATTTTATCCTTTATCTCACTTATATCATATACTATGATACGCCATATTATATACAGTGCATAGTATGGTACACTATTCTATGTGTAATATTTATACGTGAGATTAATAATGCTGCAGATGCTACTAGTATTTGAACATAGGGCTTTTTTGAATTTTAGCCCAATGGAGCCCCTTCCAGACCTTTGACCTCCCGAACAATAAGATAATAATTTTTTGTTCCTTTAAGCTACTAAGTGTGTAGTAAATTGTTAAAGCAGCAATAGGAAACTAACATACTAGTTTTAGATTCTGAAGTCTTTTTCTTTTTTATTTAACAACATGCATTTATTATTACAAAGTTTCCGTGGGCCAGGAGGTGGCCTAGTTTAGAGTGATCTTCTGCTCAGGGTCTTGCAGACTGCACTCAGGCATTGGCCTCGCCATGCTTTCTTGCTGGTTTTCATTCAGGGGCTGCTCTCAGCTCCCAGAGGCCCCCAAAGTTCCTTATCGTGGGACCCTCTCACAACATGGCTATCTGATTCTTCCAGGCTAGCATGAGA